CTTCCGCAGGGTGAGCAGCACCGGCGCGCAGTGAGCGCTCTCTTCCAGGCCCTGACCACGTGGGGCTAGGTCTTGAGCCCGCCCTTGGCTCCCACCCAACCACGGAGACTCACACCCACCTGCTCGCCCAACAAGCTCTTACCAAATCGAGGAAAAGATCCCGAAGCTGGGTGGCATCCTGTTGCAGGCGCTCGGCTGCCTGGTTCCGCTCGTCCGCACCGCGGCACACTAGGCGGCCTTGCATCAGCGCACGTAGGTACTGCAGCACCACCGCACGCTCCGTCTCGGCCAGGAGCACCTGCGGGGAGGGCTAGCACGTGGGCCCAGGACACCTTTTCCATCGGCGTTCCACCCTCGCCAGCCTTTCCCCAACACACCTGGAATGCGGGGTTCCGAACACGCCAGAAGTTCTGGCAGAAGCGCGCTGTCCGCTCGCACACATTGTTCAGCAGCTCGGGGCTCGACAGCCAACGGCGCGAGGGCAGAGTCGCGAACAGGGGCTGGAAGGACGATCCAGACCCGGAATTTCCCCGCAGAGACTCCCAAACATACGCCTTATCTCCTCCTACCCTTAGTCCCACCTGCAGTCTCACCTGGAGCTCCAGCAACAGCGCCTCCAGCACCAGCCGGCAGATCCTCCTCTGCAACTCGTCCAGCGCTGCCTCCACCGGAGCCAAGGCCCCTGAGACCACCCCTTCGGGCTGCAAGACGGACACGGAGGAGCTGGACCAACCAAAAGTAGGGCTTCAGGACCAAGGCCAAGGCCCTCACAGCCCTCGATGGTCCGGCCGCTTGGGCGCCACCCAGTGGCGGAAGTGTGTGTGGCGGGACGGGGCAAGAAGGGCCCTGGCCTTCTGAAGGTCTAGGCCAGTGGTTGTCAAACTTCCTAATGCCGCGACCCTTTCATACAGTTCCTCATGTTGTGGTGACCTCCAACCATAAAATTATTTGCGTTGCTACTTCATAACTGTAATTTTGCTACTGTGATGAATCGTAATGTAAATATCTGATATGCAGGATGTATTTTCATTGTTACAAATTGAACCTAATTAAAGCATAGTGATTAATCACAAAAACAGTATGTAATTATATATGTGTTTTCCAATGGTCTTAGGTGACCTCTGGGAAAGGGTCGTTCGACCCCCAAAAGGGTCGCGACCCACAAGTTGAGAACTGCTGGTCTAGGGTGTGCACGGGTGGGCTCAGCAAGCTAGAAAAGACACAACCCAGTCAGACCTGTTTCTAATTCCCAGTGAGACCTTGAGCAAGCCATGTCTTCCTGTTTCTGTTTCCTCATTGGTAAGGGGAGAGAGTTCATCACAGTCAAGAGGGAGTAACTTGTTTGTCTGACCTCTCTGTCCCCATCCTATGTAATAAAAGCCTAATATGCAAATTGTCCCTGCAGGTGGTCATTCGACCCATTCAACCAGACCAGGAGTTTGACCACTTGCTATGATGTGCGCTGACCACCAGGGGGCGGCGCGGAACATGGCGGGCATTGGCAATGCGGCACTGGCAGCGGGCAGTAGTGGC